GAGAGAGACGGTCAACTGTATAAAAGTTCAAGTCATAATATTGTGTTTACTAATACTACCGTATGCGCGGACTTATGGACATGTGGCCATCTAAATATAGTTTGTAATTGGTCATATTTCAACTTTTATTACTTCAAGAATTACAGCTTAAAATAGAAATTTATAAATATTTAACTTTTTTATTTAATTTATCGAGAACTATCTTACTATTGTAGTATTTTAAGTCAACGAATTTTGGGATTATACCCTGCATAGAAATTCTAAAAAAGGTTTGTTAACTACGTAGAGACGTATCCATAAATTAATCTGTTCGTCATCTTTTCTCATCTATTTTAAATCATTCTCTATAATATATAATAAAAAGAGTACGATGACTTGACGAAATATGATAATAAATCATGCCACATCGAGAAATAAATAACATATATATACAGTGAGAGCAAAAAGTATTCGTACAACGAAATTTTTTATAAAAAAAGTCTTATTTGTAAAAAATAAACATTAATTAGCAATTTTATACAATAAATATATTTTATTCTAACATAATAAGCAAACGAGCTTTTCCTGATTTTAGAAGCTAAATTTCTCGACTGTATACGAATACTTTTTAGGATCCAAACAATAGAATTTTTAATTTTCGTTTATTTTTCAGATGATACATTTTCTATAATTAATACACATCTTTTTGATATATATAATTTTAAGAAACATACAGTCTATTTTATTTTTTATGAATAAATTGTTAATTACCCAGCAAGAAATGATCGTCAATTAAATGTCGAATCAACGTCGAATTAATGTTGAAATCATCGTATCGATATCGATTCGACATCAATTCAATGACTCATTTCTCGCTGGTTAATATTAACTTTTTAAAAATAAAGTTTTTTTGAAAAATATTTTTCTGTACCAATACTTTTTGCACTCACTGTATGTATATAGACAGTAATAGAAGAGTAGAAATATATGGAAAATAATATATATGTATATATATATGATATAGAGAAAGAGAACTACACGTGCCGAATATAAACGACAAGCAGCGAGAGCTTTCTGCGAGTAAACATAAACCAGCGGGGGTTCAACAGGAAGTAATGTATTCGCGCATTATCATAATTCTCATCGCAGTCACGCTATCCCAATAAAAAAAAAAAAAAGAAAACGAGCGTGCAGCACCTAATCTCCGCGCTTCCTCGCTATCTTGTATCTCTCTTACTCGTAGGCTCGGAAATATCTGCGGGAAGAGCATAGCTCTTCCTGAAGGGAACGGCAGAATGAGAGAGGCACTACCTTCCGGAACTATTCTTGGCTCGCGAGGAGGTCGCGGCGGAGGAGGAGGAGGAGGCGGCCGCGACGCCGATGCTCGTGGAGGTGATCTGACCGTTGCTCGGCGCCCTGGGTTGCCGCGGAGGCGGCGATCCGTTCGTGGGCGTCGAGCTCTCGGACGAGAGGCCGGAGTCGTCGCGTCCATCCTCGGCGCCGCCGCCGGTGCCGTTCTCCAAGTTCGCGGGGACGCGAACGCGCGTCGGCAGGCCGGTGGTGCGCCTCCGGGCGCCCTTCGAGTTCTCGGCCGACGTGGAGGCCATCGTCGGCTTGTTCCCTCAACCGGATCGTCAGTCTTCTCCCGGTAATCGTGCACGGGTCATCGGCCGGCCTGGTCCCGCCGTGCGTTCACCGAGTCGAACGCGGTTCGCCAAGTCTCTAGCTGAACGAGCGCGAGGATAATCGAACTTCTCTCGGGAACCTCCCGGGAACTTGTTAGGCTTGTTGTTGACTTGAGCAGAAGGAGGAGAGAACCCAACAGTTCCCTCGTGGATCTCCTCGAGTTTCCTCACGGAGTTTTCTCGGCGCGGCGTTTATCGTATCACTGAACGTGACAGTCCGTCGGAAAGCTTCAACCGCAGGAATAGGATAATGTAAATAGAAGATGAAGCACACGGACGGGCATATTTAGCTGGACGGGACGGAATGCGTCGTTTTACAATCGACGGAGAACGAAAGGAGGGAAACGCGGGCACGGCAGGGTGAGAGAAGCGAGAGGCGTTAATGGAAGGAGTCTGATGGAGTACGATGAGTAATTCGGTAGACATGCAATTGCCGCGGTCACTTTCCCGAGTTGCACGTCCAGCTTATACGCGCCGAATTACTCGCGCGTTCCGCGTTGTAGCGTTTCGTAATCCTCCGCGCTAAGTTACGCGAATTCGAATGCCCCGGCACGGGGATGCCGTGTTATCGCTCCGCTCGCCCGATGACATCGCAAATGAAACTGCAAAATGAGATAAACGGCAACTCGGAGACCTGGATCGACGGACAGGTGAACGATAAAATTAAAAAGAAAAAATTAAAAAAAAAATAGAAACCCAGTAAACGCGATACACAGATCAATCCAGATCGCCACTCGGATAGCGGTAACGCAATCTTTTGCGGGTTGACTAACGAGTTCTCTTTTTTCTCTCTTTCTTTCGATACACCGCAAGTTATTTGCGTTGTAAATTATTGAACGCGACAGTTAAGCGCGTTGGAAAATTACGTCTCTATTTAATTAGTTAGTTTCGCGAAAGGAAATAATTAATTTACTTATTTCGCATCATCTCATTCCCTCGCAATTTATCGCGTCTCCAATGTAATCCGTTCGTTAGCGCTTCCGTTCCTTCTTATCTTTTTTTTTTTTTCCTCATTTTCATAACAATCTCAGACTCGGAAGGAGCCGGTTGAGTCATCCTGTCGAGTGAAAGTTATCCTACCGAAATCACTACCGGAGCGGTATTTGCTATTTTTCTACCAGAGCGCACGTTTTATCGAATTGAATGATTGTTATACAAGTGCGGTTGTCACAAAAGCCTCATCCTAAAATTCCATGACGTTTTCCTGATTTCTCGACAAAACTTCATGATTTTCTCTGATTTCTATCAATAATATTTTTCTGTATTTTTGTCCTGATTTGGACGTCGTCAAATATTTTGTTGAGAGATCAATTTAACATAGCGATATAAATTACTATTAATATCGCTGATACATTTAAGCACGCTGTTTGCATTTAATTGTTAGGTTGGTATTCTAAATACGTAGATGTGGTGACGCATATTAAACTTTTTCCAAGAATGTTAATTTTCTAGGAAATCTTGCAAAAACTTTTCCCCGATTTTGTGGGAACCCTCCAGTTACATGACTTGATTCCTTCTTTTAAAAGAGGAGAATTTATAATTCCCTCTTTTAAAGAAAGGGAATTTATAATTTCCTTTCAATAAATCCGAAATTAATTGATTATTGTTTAATTCCAGAGGGAAATCAGACTATTATGTCACAGGACTAATTAAAGAGCTTCCGCGCGGCGCAATTTTGACACCTCCGGCGCTCCGCGTGAGCGAGTTTCTGCTGATCAAATTAATCGATTTATTGTAAAGACTCGTAAAGCGTCGGTTAATATTTTACGAGACTATTAATAAACTCTGTGAATCTTAATGCCACGGTTAAATATACGACTGCGACCTCGCGTGTTCCAGTACGACCGTGCGTCGTTTCATCAACGCACTATCTTGGACTGGGGAAGATTCACGTGACAGCGACGGTTCTAGGGAAAAGGGCGATAAGGGCCAAGAACACGACT